GACCTCAAAAAGGAACACACAGAAATCCTTTTCATGTTGCGGCGCCATCTTGGATACTGAACCTGCGGCTGCGCTGTAAGCATGACAAGCAAACAGAAGGTAGGACATGAAAAATTTGGACAGTTATGTAGTAACCTATGTGGATGATAGTAACCTACACAGTAAGCATTGGACAGTTGCTAATGCTTATTGTGTAGGTTTTATCACGGGTAAGGTCATACATCAATTTATTATTAATTTTTAAAACTGAACCAATCATTTATAAACACCCTGTACAAATGTACATGTCAGTTTCTAACTTGAAAAAAAATCGTACACATTCATAGTACTTTACGCCGTGGCACTACTATATTAATACAGTTTTCATTAGATTTCTTAATCCGTGTAGCACAATACTGAAATTCAGTAACAATGCTCCAGCATAAAAGCATCCGAACCTCAATGAAAACGGCTTTTTTGGAGTTAGAAATTGATTTACTTGAAAATGCTGGTATCTTAAAGTCGTAGCAATCTTACGAAGATTTCTATCTTTCCGAACGATGGTCGTTTTCTAAAAAGGACCGACTCTTTCATTACGAAGCACTGTTAGGAAGTGGTCCCTGTTTAAAAAATAAGATCCACTAAAAAAATTAGAGAGAGGAAATGAATAAAAAAAATTCTTCTCTGGAGCGCACATTTAGAGTTAAGAGTTACGCTGTCAGACTTAAAGAAAACTATTCTTTATCTCTTAAAATTAAGTAAATTTTCTACATTAATTTCGATGTCAGTATTCTAAATTTCTCAAGGTTTGGTAGTTAATTGAATGTCGAAAAGAATCGTATGTCAAAATACTGAGAAAAAGAGGAAAAAGAAAAGAAGGAGCAATCTGAAGTTAAACCGAAGGGAAAATAAATGGCAATCTTAAAGACCTCCATCAGCAGAAAATTATCTTGTTGATGAATTTTGGTCCAGTCTTAGGCATTTGTGTACCATTTATCCCAAATTCCGTCACCGCCGTGCTGAGATAGCAATTTGCTGCCTACTTTCCTTGGAACATTATCTATAATTTTTTTCTAATGTAGATAATTAGTGACAATCAAGGTAAAGCCTGATATTATCTCGGAAGATAGGAGGGGCGATTTTAAAATTAGTATGCTTGATAGAGGAATCTTCTTAATAAACTAGACACGGAGTAGATGTATCTCAGTAAAAATGCATCATTAGAGAAATCTTTCAGTAACCAAAGGAATCTTTTTCAGAATGGAAATCTTTTTCAGAATTAATTTATAAATTTTGGCACCTAGAAATACCGGACGAAATAAATGGGTAATTTGGATGGGCGAAAACTATTGCTCACTTACTGCATTTTAAAGCTTGTTCTGCCCTAAGTGAAAAACAGATTAATTACACAAAAAGCTAGCTTTATGGAAATACTTTTATTAAATTACAACAAATTAACACAGTAGGCAGTGCTCAAGAATTAACACACTACGCTATTGATAAGTTATTTAAAGATATTGTGAAAGATATTTATTACAAAATAATTTGGGGGGGAAATAAAATTAACAAAGTTTTCTACGCAATTATTGAATTGTTCCTCCTATGAGTAATGTAGTGGCGTAAGTGATTTATATATCCATCCGCTACCAGGTAGAATATTTCTAACTCAAATCCCTGTGACAGCACGGATTTTGTGCCTGCTCCAAAAATTCTAAAAGTTTCTACGTGACTTCCGAACTAATGTATGGTGGTCAGTATCTCCTAACCAAGTAAACTCGATCGACGGGGTCTTGTATCTCTCTCCATTAACAATTTAGTGAGAGGGAATAGGATAAATTATCGCATTCCGTCAAGTTTTCTCTCATTGTATGAATGGTTAGCACATTAAGCTAGCAATTGGAAGGATTCGTGTTTCGAATTCAAGGCATCCACATAGCATTAAGTTTCAAAAATCGCTAAAATCTCTACAGCTTTATTCTTTAAGATACTGCAAGTGACGCTGACGCTTAATGATTAATATAATTTTCATAGTAAGTATAAAGATACAGGGTCATGTGATGCACTAATTACTTTCTCAAGTGAAGTTAGAAATGGAGAAAAATAATAAATAATTAAAAGATTGTTATTTGTATATAACTAATGATAAATGAACAGAGATATCAGTAAAACAGATTATCTGTGAATCTGATGCAAATATAGTAATAGAAAGAATGACTTCCTCCCATGGTAAACTTATAGTTTATACATGTCTTTTTCCAATTAGACTAAGATGGAATTTTGAGCAATCTGGAGAATTTTCTTCAAAGAGAATTTTAATATCATCCTAACAGTGCAGTATGGGAAAAATGAAACAAGATTTGGAAAGGTTCTGAGAATGACTTGTGTAACACAGTCGTAACTCCATTTATATAATGGGCGAACACATTTGTGAAAAAATAACCTCACGCCTACAAGAAATGCAGTCTCATACGGAGCAGAAATTACTGCCAAAATAAACTATAAATTCAGTTGCTGAGTTGTTATAAATGGCATTTAACAAGCATGCCTCTAAATGTGCCCCCACACGCCGTCTATTTCACCATAAATGCATGTACCTTGCTCAGCAGCCTCCACGGTAGAAGCCACAATTCAGTGACAATCAAATGGACAAGCATTTAACAAATATCTGTTTCGTGAAAGTGGTCTCGCGAGGAAAAGAAAAAGAAAAATTACGGAAGAAAGAGAAAGAAAACTGAAAAAAATAAATAAATAAATAAATAAATAAATAAATAAAATAAAAAAACCGAAGCTGGCTTTTCCCATCGCTTATTGTTAAACCTCAAGAAGGGCCACCAGCATGGAATCGGAATTGGTGAGTGTTGCCTAGGGGTGACACAGTGACGCAAGCAAATAAAGAATCTCTCACGTTGAAGCCTTAGCCGGTGCATGTTTATTCAAGTCCAGCCTGAATCCATCTCTCATTTCTGCGTTCAGGTGGTTTCTTTATGACGCCTACCACCACTAGAAAACTAATGTACAGTCGTAAATAAGAGCTTGATTGGAGATCTCATTGTTCGGTTTCGCAGTAAAGTATCTGTGATGAGGTTACAAAGTTTGGTTTAGGCTTCACCTTTCCTACCTTTCTTTTCCAATCTTTGTTTTGTTGAAGATCTATACCTCAGGCTACAGCAATCGCTCGGCATCAAAGAGTTCCTTTTTTATTGTTATTTTATTTTTTTCTTCATGTAGCGCGACCTATTTTTTATTTTTAACAAGACGTGAGTAATGAGGTTGTGCATCTTCATATGCAATTGCTCTAGTGTCATAATATCTGAATACTGATAATTAGTGGAAATCTTATGCACGAAGGAAGAATCTGCAGCGTTTGTGCAAGGGCTGCATAATGAACGCTCAGTTTTGTTTCCTGAGGTAAAACTGGCAGTGGAATCTTTGAAATTTCTCGAAAACAGATATTTATGTTGTTCAACTACTTAAAAAGCATATCGTGATGTATCGAAGTTCAAGACAGGTCAAGAGCTTAAGGGATAGGTTACTGAGATAAAGATACAACAATTGAGTTATCAGATTAAGAAACAGGTTGCTTATCGTTAGGATATTTATCTTTATGGCTGCTCTCCGAACGTTTTGTTCACCAGATCATTTTTATGTAAGACTAGCTACTAGCTATGCTACCTGGCTTCCAGTCGTTAAACACATCGCGAGCAAACGTAAACTGGAAATCAGATAACAAGATAGCAGTTTCTAACAAACGTATTTTCTCGAAGTTTCTTCATTTCATGCATTCTCCATTATTTAACAGTAAGAGCTTTCACAGAACCTTGGGGCTATATCCTTTCCTATTTGTATACTTTCCAAGAACATTATAAAGCCTGATTCCTATCCAACTTGCTTTCTAGATGGGAATTTTGGGTGAGTATGAGGAAGTTGTGAATATAGCAGATTTGCAGTTAGTTGGTTAATTGAATTTTGACAAAACAGTCGAGGGCTCTCTGTCTAAGAGGAGGGATGCCATCGTACAGGACTTTCTAAGAGAAACTCGCGGCTCGTATAAGCATTACACAAGGGGAAAATTACAAAAGCGCCTATACATCCAGGCACTCACTGGGATTTGAACTCCAGACTCGAGAACTTAAGAGTGTTCCCTGGTTTTACAGCTCAGTCGCTGGTCGGAACAAGCAGATTTTCAGATGCTGAGAAGCAATTCTATGTAACTTTAATAACAGCAACAACTTTCTGAAGAGCTCTGAATACTGCTATACTCGAATCACTTTAGTAATGATAACAAAGCATCTTCAGCATTTTTACATTTTAGAGTGTCACTAATCGATAAATTAATTTTTAAATATTTATTCTTTCTGCATCGCACCTGACGATGCAGTCAGTGATGTAGCTTGGGGGCGCAATGGGAGACATCTGTTCCCGGGGACTACATTCAGGAGGCAACAAACTGATGAAAACCATTGCCTACTTCCATGCAAATTTCGATTCGATCTGCTAACTGGTGGTTTCGAACTGATTAAGAAACTCGTTACCAGTGTTTTATTTTTACCGATTTGTAGGGATTAGAAGACTTCACAAAACTGCATTTTCTTCTGCTGGTTTTTGAAGCAGGAACTAAAATTTTCATACCGTTCTTAATCTTTACTGAAAAATGTTCGTAAAAACATTAGTATATTTCTTTTACTCAGAATTTTTCTATTTTATTTTATTTTATTTTACTTATTCAATTCTGTTTCTTAATTTGAAGTTATAGTATTTGTTAAGAAATAGGATTCAGTGTACTAGTTTTAGATTGTGTCCGTAGTTTGCCAGATTTTCGTCTTACAAATGCTGACACATTTTGTATTTCAGTGTTCCATAAAATAATGAAATATAACTAATAAGTTTTACTAGATCATTCTGTTTTTCAGACTAGGCCCATTCTTTCTATTTGTTATGACTGAAGTATAACTGAATCAACTGAAGTACAATAGATGTCTTTTAGTAGACATAATTAACAAGAACAGATTAGATAAACTCACCAGTGATTCACTTGCGTTTGCAGAGCCGCCTTGATTGCAAATTGTAGAGTTCCCTTGTTCGGACACTGTTTCAGTCTTTTTATGGTTTTGCATGTGGGAAGAAAGTGCCGCAGCCGTATTATAGCCTCTGTTGCACACCGTGCACTGGTATGGTTTCCCATTATCATGCGTCTTCATATGAATCTTAAGGTGATCACTGCGAGAAAAGGCTGATTCGCATTGTGAGCACCGGTACTTGCGGTCACCAGTGTGCAACTTAACATGACGGTCGCGACTGCGTTTGTGCTTGAACAGCCTTTGGCAATAGTCGCAACGGAACGGCATCTGGTCGCTGTGAATCTGCAAAAAAATGAGAATATTTCGGATTATTATAAGCATTCACAATTTTCAAGCAATAAAATATTACTTACAGTCAGTAGATTTTGCAGAAACATAATATGATTAGGTTTGTCAGTAAAAGATTTAAGACCAATAAACACTGTTAACCTCCTTTCGTCTACCACCAAAAGCTTATCAATTGGTTTGGTTTGGTTTGGTTTATTTAATTATGGCAAAGCACACTAGGGCTATCTGCCTAAGGGGAGGGATGCCTTCGTGGAGGACTTTCTAAGGAAACTGGCTCGTATACACGTTACACATGGGGAAAACCACGAGAACGCCCATGCAGTCAGCCCGTTCGCGGGATTCAAACCTCGGACCGAACTACCAATGTTCAGCGACTTTACCGCTCGGTCGCTGGTCAGCCAAAAGCTTATCAAACCACACATGTAGTTCAAAGGCAATTTTCTGATTGAAGAACTATATACATATTATATTCTTACTGAGCCAATACACAAGGCGCAAATCTGCCAGCCTGTTGATGTGGTGGTAGGATAGCCGACTGCTATGATGCTGAGCTCGAATGCGTATCTTGGAGGAGGCTCATATGTTTGTAAATGTATAATGCCTTTGCAGCATGTGTATTCTTAAAACGAGCTGAAAGTCTGTGCTTGAAATGTTCGCGTTAGGTAAAACAAGACCTTTGAATTCACTTCCCAGAATGTTCTCGATCAGAACTGGGGGTGTATTTGAGCAGAGTCATATTATCACCTATATTAAAGTCTTAGCCTACGAGAAAGGCTGTCTTTCTCTTGTCCGTGATGAATTTATGTATATGATATAGATTATCTTTACATGAAGATAAGTAACAACAACAAATAACATGCTTAACCCTTTCAGCCACAATTATGTAAATAATTTTAAAATTTGTACGTGCGTTAATGTTTAAACATAAGTGAAATAAACTAGCACCTGTGTAAAATTAGGCAAAGGAATTTGTTTTGTTTGGCGTAGATTTACTCAAGACTATCAATTTCAAGGGCAAATAGTTACAGGTCCCTCTTCATCAGGATGACTGGAGATTTCTTTGCTCCTGATGAGGAGGGATCTGCACCTGTTTGCCTCCGAAATCGATAGAGTCTTGATTAAAATCTACACCAAACAAAGATTGTAGCTTTATCTAATTTTACGTTTTACCTTGGCGTGTTTTTCTTCTCTCTTACGTCCTCTGTGACAACTAAAGTATGTAAATTGCATCATTATGAGCATAAATATCCAAATTCGAATTCTGATAACTTTTCTGAACAAAAGCGGTTTTTCAAAAGTGCAGAAATATAGGCAACTTCACTTCTAAATAATTCTCAAATCTTTGAACCTCAAAGAAGGTTGCATTGCAGAATCTCCATGGGCAAACTGATGCTTTATATAAACTTTTTTTTTTTTCTTTTCTGTTGAAGTCGAAGTAAAAGTAAATGGCACAAAGTTGTTCACAAATTTGATTTTGGGTCTGCAAAAATCATCCAAAAGGCTTCTTCCATAGGCGAATTAGATTTTCTTGAGGCTTTTCACATTCACAAAGATTTAGAAAGTTTAGTTAATGATTTGAAGTCCAATCCAGTCCTTCCTAATGCCTTTAAAATTCTACTGTCTTAATTCAATTATTTTTGCCGATAGATGGCGTTACCTACTCGCACTTGGTACTACCAGAGGGTATAAAAATCCGTTCAGTGGTTGCTTTCCATTCCTACTTCTGGTATAAGTATCTCGCATCGCTCTGGCTCAGCCCGGCTTTGTGGTTGCTTATCTTGTGCCACTGATCGTTCATCACTGAATTGTTGGATTTCGATCCTTCGATTTTTTACTGTTTTGGATTGTTACTCTTTAGCTTTGACTATCAGTGTTGAAGACAAGGGCCTTGTGAAGTCACGCCGGCTCATCCAGAACACCTTCGTGTGGGTCTGGTTCCGGAGCGCCGGACTCCATTAATTTGCTTATGAATGATGGAACCATTTTTGAAAGTTTTTGCGGCTACCGTTGAGGAGCTGAGTGTTAAGAAACAAAATGGAAATCTTTCTATCAAAGAAGACAAAGAATTTGATCTACTTCAAAAAGTGTATGATGCCTTAATTACTACTCACAAAGAAATTGAAGAGTCATTAGAACATCAAGAAGAAACTCCTTCTACACCTACAGAAGTGAAAGTGAATGGAAAATTGTCAAAAGAAAACGTATGAAAGGCTCACCTAATAAGCCAAATAAAGACAATTCAACTGAAATTCCTTTCGAACAAGAAACGGATAGTTCAGGTAACGAAACTGAACAAAAACCCAAAGGAGATCGTAGTGTGGGTAAAAGGAAAAAGGGTCATTTTCGTCCCATTAATCCTTCTCAGCTCAAACCAGTTGTTACTCCTTCCATTAATAGTCAAGAATCAATGGACACTAGTCCTGTTGTTCCAAATGAATCTCAGATAAATGAAGAAATACAAAACGATCAAAACAAAAAAGGCAAAGCGCCACCTGCCATTTATATAAATGATAAAAAATTTGATTGGAAAGAACTAAAAGCGTTATTTGCAGAACATAAATTATCAGACAAATCTGATTACACAGGTTACATTAAAAAAGAAGGCTTTAAAATTAAAGTCTCTCATGTCAACATTCATAGAGAAATGACAAGTGTTCTGAACAAAAAGGAAATTAAATATCACTCCTTTCTCTTGCCTGATGAGAAGAATCATAAAGTGGTCTTCCGTCATCTTACAATGGACACAGATCCTGATGAAATCAAAGAAGAACTTTTAAGCAAAAATTACGAAGTTATAAGTGTCAGTCAACTCTCTCGTAGATTTAAAGGAGAAGTTAAAAAATTTCCACTTTTTCTTATCACTCTGAAAAAAGAAAAATGAAAAATCTAAAGAAATTTCTAAAGAAACCAAAATTTGTGGATTACATATCAAAGTCGAACCATATAAAGGACGCTCTGGCCCAGTCCAGTGCTTCCGATGTCAAGGATTTCACCATTCACAAGCTGCTTGCCACAATGACTTTAGATGTGTTAAAATGTGGTGATAACCATGACTCAAGAACCTGTCAAAAAGACAAGAATGCACCTGCTAAATGTGCAAATTGTGGTCTAGACCACACAGCTTCATTTAAAGGTTGTGAAAAGTTTCCGAAGCAAGCTAAAAAAGAACAAATCAAATCATATGCTGATAGGTTTATTATCAATAAGTCTTTTGCTGAAGCCATCAAAGCTAATAACAATCCTTCTCCAAATCTTATTGCAGAAGCAAAAAAGATATTTGATGACCTTAATACTCTAGTCACCTTCCTGAAAAACTCAGGAATACAACTCCTTGCGCAAAACATCCGTCAAAATGCCACTAATACAGTATCAGATGAAACTAATTCTGACCAGCATATTCAATAAGTCAGATTCGCTTAAACTTTGCTATTGGAATGCTGCTGGCATTGTTAACAAAATTGATGAACTTTCGGACTTTTTTATAGAATATAACATAGATATTGGCATGATCTCTGAAACGCATGTTGTTCCTGCCGATAGACTGTATATTGCTAATTATCGCACCTACAGAGGTGATAGACTTTCACAAAGAAGAGGAGGAGCTGCAATTTTTGTTAAAAACTCTCTGCAATCCTGTCTTGTCTCGACAAACTCTGCTTCTGGATTCGAAAGTGTGACTGTTGCTGTTATACTCCCACAATTTGGTACCATCCATTTTACGGCTATTTATAATCCACCACGAAACCGACTTTCTGAAAATATGTTAAAAAACTTACTTCCTGAAGATCAGCAAGTTATTATTGCCGGAGACATGAATGCTAAGCACCTCGAATGGGGATGTCGTCGTTCTAACACCAATGGACGTATTATGCATAATTTTATCTGCAATCATCCTGTCGCATTACATGTACCTTCTGAAGCCACTTATCGTCCTGCCTCTCCAAATCTCTCGGACATCTTGGATATTATCCTTACAAATACTTCTATCCCTATTTCCTTGGAAGTCAAGGCAGAACTTACATCTGATCATGTACCTGTCATTGCTTCTCTTGGTGTTTCTAAAGAAGACCCTCCTATTACCAGAAATAATACTGACTGGATTACTTTTCACAATATCTTAATCAAACATCCTCCTATTTTCACTTCACTTTCTACCAAACAGGATATCGATCTTGCCATTCATATCTTCACTGACAGTATACTGAAAGCTTTCAGAGATGCTACAGTTACCATTCAATTAACTAACAATAATATTCGACTTCCTCGCAGTATCAGAGACATTATCAAAGAAAGAAACCGATTGCTGAAGCTTTGGCACCGTAACTGGGACCCTGCCCTTAAAAGAGAAATCAATATTTTTAATAGAAGAATCAAGAAACTTATCACTGATTTTAAAAAGGAAACAAGAGAAGATTTTATATCTAAACTTAATATTAATGATGGTTCTCTTTGGAAGTAAGTATCTTCAAAATCTTAAAAGAAGTAGTATTAATAATAGACCTATTCATACGGATACTAAAATTGCCTACTCACTTAAAGATAAAGTCGATATTTTCGCTGAATACCTGGAAAAGCAGTTTACTCCTAATATGGAGCCTATGAATCAGACCTTTAAAGATGTTCTCGAAAACTATGTGTATTCCTGGCTTCATTCTTCTTCGGCTCATAACATCCCAAGGCTTACTTCTCCTATGGAAATTACTAATATAATTAAATATCTCAACATCAAAAAAGCTCCTGGAAGTGATCAAATTACAAATAAAATGCTTCGTAACTTACCTAGAAAACTTATCAGTAAATTCGCTAGTATTCTCAACGCTTGTCTTGCTCTCAACTATTTCCCTGATCCTTGGAAGCAAGCCAAGATCTTTCTTCTTCCCAAACCGGGTAAAGATGTGACCAAGCCTGATGGCTATCGTCCTATCAGTTTGTTATCCAGCCTTGGTAAAATTTATGAAAGACTTATTCTCACTAGATTGGAACCTTTTCTTCAC